TGCCAGAGCTGTGTCCTGCGGCTGGGCCGGGGCTTCCCCAGGGCCCCCGGCGGGGAAGGGGGCTCTGGCCATCATCAGGACCTATATCCATAGGGGCTACGGAGCATCTGCCAGCAGCAGCAGGATGGGGGCATCTCCGTGCCCCCAGCAAACACGGCCGGTGGCGAGAGAGCCCGAGTGAGAGCAGATGGGAGAGGGGGGAAAGAGGAAGGGAAAAACAAGCCGAGAAGAAAGGCAGGGCTGAGAATGCTGGCAGCACCACTCCAGTCAGGAGCAAGGCAGCTGCTGCCCTGGACCCCAGAGCCCCCCCGGCAGCTCCCCTGCAGCCTCCTGCTCCCCCAGTCCAGCCCTTGGGTCCCAACTTTCCCATCGCCCGGCAGCACTCGACATGGGTGAGGGCGAGCGGGGAGGGCACGCGGGAGCGTTCCGGACACGGGGGTGGCCTCGGACACGGGCTCTCCTCTCCTTCCCGTGCCCTGCTCAGGAACAACCACAGCATCGCCACGAGCACCCAGCTGCCCTCCATCCCCTCCGCTCCTCTTTCTGCCGAGCCAAGGGCTGTGCCTGCCAGCCCCCCAGCTTCCCCCCAACGCTGCTGGCCCCACAGCCCCCCGGCCGTGCCCTGCAGTCCCCCCTCACCTGGCTCGGGTGGTCCCTGCGAGCTGCGGATGGTGGAGATGCAGCAGAGGGATGGCCGGCCCTGCTGCATCTCGGCGGGAGGAGGGATGCGTGCGAGCGCTCGGCAGCACCGGCTGTCACCAGCGCGGCTCCATCCCTGCCTCCTCTCATACCTCGTCCACACCTGACTGACTCCCCCGATCGCCTCCCTCCTGCTGCCAATAAATGGTGGCCGCACGCTCACCCTGGCTCCGGCGCTGGGCAGCCCCCAGCCGGCCTCACTCGGGGAGGAGGGGGTGAATTACACCCCCTCCCTGCTGCCCTGGGGGTGTTTGATCCGGAAAGATGCTCAGCGTTTTCCTCGCGTGCTCGCGCCTAATCCCGCGGCAGGGCCAGCTGGCACCAGGCTGGACACAAAGCCTGGGGGGCTGCTGTGGGGGGGACACATCACCCTGCGATGGACGCACCACCCTGGGGCTGAGCGGAGCCGTGGCAGCGCCGGGGTCACGGGTGGTTTGGGGCATTTGGGGTGCAGGAGGAAAAGATAAGAGGGAGCGTGGTGCTGAGCATCCTTCCCGGGCAGGGGCTGCGGGGCTCGGCTTGGCCTGCGCCCACACCCGGGCCAAGCCAGCGTGGTCACGGCCGTGTCTGGGGTCTGGGCAGAGTTGGGGTGTCCGTGCTGAACCTTGAAACGGGGCTGCAGGAGCCTCCCGGCTGGCTGAGCCCCAGCTGGAGCAGAGAGACGAGAGCTTGGCTCTGGTCCCCCAACAGCCACCATGCCCCCCTCTTACTGGGTTCCCACAAGCCAGCCCATGGTCTGGCACCCCGTGCGACGGACACCCCACCGCCTGCTCGCGGGCTGGGGAGTCGCTGCCGGCTCCTTTTCTCTTGGTGGCTCTTTGGTGCGTTTTGGGCACCTCTCCAGCCACACAGGGCAAGTGGTGTGGGGAGGCCAGTGGCCAGGTCACCGCAGGGAGACCAGCAGCCACCTGTCCCGGGTGCTGGGACGGGGTCTGCGGCAGCAGCAGGGCCAGACACGGCTCCCTCCGTTCGCCCGGCACGCCGCCGCTCCTTTTCCTTCTCCAGACACTTTTATGGCTGGTGAAACGTGAGCGTTGGAGAGGCTCAGAGCAGCAGCAGTCACTGCCGAGGAGAGGGACAGGGAAACCTCCCAGGGATGGAGACCTCGGGGCAGGACGTGGCAGAACGCGCCGGCGAAAACATCCCAGGGTCCGTCCCAAGGTTGGGCGTGGGGGGATTGTGACCAGCAAACCCCCTTCGAGCTGAGTTTCCTGCTCGTGAGGGTCCAGCACCTGCCCCGGGGGCAGCAGCAGGCAGCCAAGGTGCAGGAGGAGCAGGCAGGGGCGCGGGGACGGGAGCCCAGTCCCTGGACAGGCAACACGCTGCCTGCATCCAGCTCCCTCCTCTGCCACCGCTGCCCCGCGTGGCCTCGGGGACGTCCCTGCATCTCTCCACACATGCGGGTGTCCCAGAGACCTGCCCTCCCGCTGGGGACGTGTCCGCGGGCAGCTGCTGCGGGGGACAGCCAGGCTTCCCGGGGTCAGCCAGGCTTCCTGGGATTAACGACGGGCCCTGGGAGAAGCTTGGAACAAGATTTGCAAGGAATAAAATCCCTTTGTCGGTTTGCCCGGCACCAAATGGGGCGAGAGATTTGCCTGCAGTCAGAGAAGGATTTGCGGGGGGGCTGGTTGTCCCTCTTGTCTTCCTCCAGGCAGGTGAAGGGTGGATGAGACCAGAGCTCTCCTAGGACGGGGAATCCACTCGCTGCTTTGCGAGGGACTCATCTGGCTTTTAGCGGCGGCTGCGCCAGCCCCGAGCCCGCCTGGCATCGCCGTTGCCCTGGTCCCCTCCGCCCCTTCCACGTGGCTTCACCCCGGTGCAGGGCAGAGCTGCTGCTTGCGCTGGCGGAGCCGCCGGGGGGGTGGCGATGCTCGCTGGGACCCCCAAGGCACTTTGAAGCCGTACCCCCACGACGTCCTTACGGACCAGATACTACCCCGAGCCATTCCCTAAGACCTGCTGGCCCCGAGGAGGACGAGACCCCATTCAGAGAGGACTGACACCCCCTCAAGCCTCTCCGGATTCCCCCCGAGTCGTACCTGGGCCAGGCCCGGGGTTCCACGAGCATCACCCCAGCGCTCCCCTCCGAATTCTCTGGGCGCGGAGGGGAGCTGGGAGCCCTGCGCAGGGACGGAGCTCAGGCCGGCGGCTGCTCACCGCTGGTGCCTCCCGAGGAAGGAGGAGGAAGGGAACAAAAGGCAGATGCCCTTTCCATCCTCCCCGTGCCCTGGGTGCACATCGGGGGGCGTGCATGGGTGCTGCCTGCCTGCCTGCACGGAGGGACAGGCAGCCCTGAGCCAGGGGAGCCTGGGGTGCAGCCTTTGGGGGGACTGTGCGTGGTTTTGGGGGTGTCTGTGCTCCTGAGCCCTCCGTGGGTGCTGCCAGGAGGTCCCCGCGCATCCCAGGACAGGGGAATCTCTGTCGGGTTGGGCACCCAAGAGCGTGTGGGGTGAGGGCAGCAGGCAGGACCTCGGGGGGGCTCTGGGCAGCGTCTCCTGGCAGGAGGCAGGGACAGCCCTGCCTGCAGCGAGCCCCCTCCCACCTTGACAGGCTCTTCCCGGGGGTCCTGCCCGGCTCCAGCACCCCCAGGCCCGCTCTGCCCTCACATTTGCACACCCCTCCCTCGCTCCAGCCAAATTTCCCAGTCCTTTTCACTGACACCCCATAATATTGGGGGGGGTAGGGGATGGAGACAGACCCTCCCCGGGATGCTGAGGGCAGCAAAGGGGGGATGTGAGGAGGGGGAGACCCCCGGGATGGAGGGGGCAGCACGATGGGGGGGTGTGTGTGATGTAAGAAAGGGGAGACC